ACATGGAATAGTGTCAAGATTCCTTACCGCATTGCAAATAACATAAATGTTATAAAGCCTCCTTTTTTCAGGGGAAACATAAGTAATTTCTACTCTAATTTATAGAAAACTATGATGAGGAAAATGACTTACATACAGGAACAAATTGTTACACTTCCATATAAAAGCAGAGGAAAGGTAAAATTAGCACGACCATCAAACAAAAGTTTCCTGTTTTATCTTTTCAAAGTTATAAGCATCCTAGCAAAACTAAAGAACCAATTAAGCACAATGTAATCATGTATAGCTTTCTTTTCAAGAAAATGCTCCTTTAACTGTTTGCATCCAAGCACACAGCACCATGGTTAAGATTCTTGCTAAGCAGGCATTCATTAACAGCATTACCCTGAAATATTAATTGTTCAAGAGAACAGGGTTATTAAAGCAGTTTGGGACCTCTAAATGCACATTCTGGGCAATTATGCTTTGTTGTATGTAGTGTTCATCCGCCCCCCCCATCGTCTTTCTGCTTTGCCAGGCATATCGCATGGCAGGGAACAGATCCAGAACTTTTGGGCCTGCTTTTTCTTTTTTTTTTGGGTTGGGGTGGGGCGTGGGGGGGGGGTGCGCTGGCATGCAATGCATGCACACCGCACATAAATTAATCATTTATAAAACATAAATCCTACTATTGGAAAAACTTGTATAAACCATGATCACAAAGATCTCAAAACATAACTTCTGCATTATCATTACTATAATGATACATAATCACTTTCATTTACATAATCAAAACAAACAAAATACTACTTTGTACTGGGGATAATCCTCGTCATAATTGTTGGCGAGAAGGGAAAGCTCCAAATTACAGAAGAGGTTTGTAAGAAATTGAGGGAGACGAAGAAGGCAAGGAATACAAGGGCGGTGGAAGTGGCGGTCAGGCGGCAATGGAAGAGGCGGAGGCGGCTAGCAGTCGAAGCGGCGGAAAGCGATTTAAAAAAAAATTAGATGGTCTTTCTTCCGTCAAATTTTTTGTGATCTGGAAGTGAGAGAGAGATGAAAAGACCCTACAAATTGATATATTAGAAATATGAGTTTTAATTAGAGTGGAATCGGATTTGGGTAATGGGCCTGTTGGGTGCAGTAAGACTTGGGTTCAATGGGCTTGGGCCACAGGAGCACCCACAAATTTTCTATTGGGTACCTCTAGAATTGTATAATAACTCCTTCAAAAAATTGAAACTTGTGGGGGGGAACATTCCCAGTGCTCCCTGAGTGGATCCGTCCCTGTCCATGAGGCATAGAGAGGGGCATCCCACCATGGCTGTGTAACATGTACAGTCAACATGAGAGTATGACAAATCTCAGAATGAAGTAATGGGAAAGACCGGACAATTACACTGGTATCTGAGAATTTGAAGTTAAAACCTAGCAGTGAACAGGTTCATTGTTTGCCACCAGTTTTGCCAATCAAAAATTTTATTGCACTAATCTGACAGTTAAGTGTTTTTGATGTTTTTTCTGTGTAAATAATATGTTACAGAAAGTTACTGCCTTCTGTTTGCCTTTCGTGAATTCTGATGCTACTGATGACAAGATAAAAAATTGCAAGCAAGTAAATGAAAACAACGATTCAGTATCTTGTATACACTGAGAAAATTTAAACACCAATAACTCGATTTTTCTTGCAATTTTAAGGTTTTGCACGGACATGAAAGTTTCAAGGAAAAACATTAACTCTTTTAATTCGTGTAAAAACATAAAGCCTTCAGTAGCATTCAAGCACTGAGGTCAATGACACTGCAAAACTCAATAATAAAGGGAAATAGTTCTTCCTAATGGTAGCATGCTTCATGCAGTGTTCCTATATTTGAATGAAATATCAAATATTTTCCTGTTCTTCTGCGTATAGATTTATTTTTATAGGAGAGGTCCTCATCAGGTGAACCACAACTTAAGTTTTGGCTCTCCCCCCAGGGCCGCAGGGGGGTGGGGGGCTCCCTTTGCACGTGGATACTTACTTTATAAGCAGCCTGTTACTAATCATATATCCAGTTAGCATAATTTATCAGTCCGACTATATTAGATAGAATCTCATCATATGGATTCACAGACACAAGTTTTTCTAAGATAAAGATCCTTCTCAGATTTTCTAAGAAGACCCTTTTCAGTCATTATAATTACAGAAATGAAGTTAGACGAAAAGTATGGCATCCAATCCTGAGCAAGAGAATATATTGTGCGGGAAAAGTAACTCTGAGACACTGTTAAAACAGTATGAAAGTCTGAAACTGGTTAGCAACAAAATTTAGACAATAGAGGTATAATTGTCATGTATCAGTTTGCTTCAAGGTTCTCACTCACACAAAAAAAAAAGGAAAACAAAAAAAATGTGGATTTGCTTATGCTTCATTTCAATACCTGACAACAGCATAGCCCAATATACCAATGGACAATGTTCCAAGCACAATGCCGCTCCAAAACAAAATCCGACTGTCAACAGCAAGATCCACTTCTATTTCATCCTTTGTCTTATCAGACCTATGAAAAGAAATACAAGATCAGTTGTAATTCTGAAAATGAGACATGTTTGACAAAAACCAGATGATAGAGTACACTGAGTTAGTATGGAAAGTATCAAAGAACTTAACCAACTTTAGTATTTTAATGAATAGCACAAGTCAACATGGTGAATAAGATTAATCAGAATGATTATCACTTATGCCAGAGAACAAATGGAGAAAACAATTTCCCATATAAATCTTACAAAAAACATGGAAGATCCGGACATGATCTGATTTCAAGAGATCCTTCAAATATTCTGCAAATGCCAACTGCAGTGATCTCCTTTCCAACTGGAAGAATCTTTTCTTCATCCAGTAGTGCAACCTTGCAAAACCAAATTGTTGTAGTAAGAACTGTAAAAGACGGCAAATGTTTATCTAGGACACAACTCTGAAAATGAAAAATTAGGTATAGGCAAGAACTTACGGGGTACCCATTACCAAAGATGACCTGGAAAAATGTATAAGCTGTAGGTTGCACAGGGTGTAACTGATGATAAACAGTAGTGAGAGGGAGTGGGTGAGCAGAACCCTCCAAAGAAACATTAACAAACCCTGAGCTAGGCCTCTGAGTAGCTTCCACAAGAACAAAGGGAACCTAGAAAGCCACACGAGAAACAATTAAGCCATCCAATTTGTCATGTTTAGCCATAGTTTGCTAACAGAACTAGTGAATCTTGAAATTTGTAGTCTTGCAGGTAGGATGAATATCTCACAGATCTGAATGAAATTGATTTTTGTTCCTTCCATGATTTTGCCAAGAATGCATGTAGATCAAACCTCCATCCCAAAATACCTCTCCACTCATTGTAGAGGCACTTCACAAACATAAATCACAAAGTACAGATCAATATTTAGCACAATAAGCATGACCTTTAATCTTCGCAAATAAGAAATAATTAAAAAAGTACCCATCGATATGAGGGAAAAAGTTGGAATTCTCTCATTATTATATGAAGATTAGGATATGTCCAAACCCTGAGAAGACATCTTCATCAACTATGCCTATATTTAAGTCATCTTTGTAGTGGAATCACAATATTTGAATCCACCATATCCCTTTCTCCTTGAAAGTATAATTTTTGTAGCATCCATAGGCAAAGAAAGATGAACAAAAATCACATGCCAACTCCTAAATGACAAGCATAACACATCAAGCAAACAGCGGCGAGGAAAACTTTCTTGGGGAGCAAACAACAAATAACTTTTTACCTAAATATAAAAAATATAATATTATAAAACTATAACACGTGATGGAAATGCAATTTAGTGCACTTTATCAGCTACATGCATCTTTTTTGGTCTGTAATGTCATAGATAAACAAAGTGAGTATCTTCACTAATGGCTCACTTATGCTAATGAATTCAAAAGAATGACTATTTGATAGTTAAAAGTATCTTACAAAGTACAGTATTGCAATTGCATTCTAACATATTCGTTATATAACATACACATCAAATCGAATTTATATAACAAACAATTGATATGCACCAAGTAATTGATAAAATTTATTTGCATTCTTGATGAATTTAACTTTTTGAAGTGTGTTCATAAGAGAAAACATGTGAATAATTGAAAGTAATGAATCTTTTAACCAAACAAAATCAACTATTTAACCAAAACAATAAAAAAAACTAAAAATCACCTAAAATGCAAGAACTCAGAGTTTGAAAAGAGCAAGAATTCAACAAGAATAAGATCTTGACAAGAAGCTTGGACGAGTAGAAAACTTCTGTGAGAGGCTTGGTCAAGAATAATAACTCATTGCTTGATGAACTTCAATGAGATGCTTCTAGAAGCAACTTCAAGCGCCTCTCTATCCAGAGAATTGGGGCACAACCTCACGGAAAAGGAAACTTGAGAGGAAGAGAGGTTTGGAGACAGAAAATTTGAAATAGGAGAATCAGATTTTAAGGCATAGAAGTTTTGAAAAAAAAAGTCTCTTGAGTCTTGATTGGGAGACTTATCAGACACAGAGAATAGATTTTATGAGTTTCTGGTTGATAAAGAACTAAATCTACATACTTAAATGGGTAGCTAATTGGTAGGCATTATATAAGCAAAAGTCAGGGTGCAAATATCCTAAAACTTATAACGACTAAAGAAAAGCTAAAATTTCAACTTGATATAAGGACTTAAAAAACTAAAATTTCAACTTGATATAAGGACTTAAAAAACTAAAATTTCAACTTGATATAAGGACTTAAAAGACTAAAATTTCAGCTAAAATTTCTTTTGTTAGGGTTGCAACTGCACCTCTAACCTTCTACATACATCCGCCCCCGCAAACAAATGGTGAACACCCTGCATCTCTTTCACCTTGTCATTCAAAACACTTCTAAATTATAAAATGATGGGCAGCCAGGTACCAAACCCAGTAGGCAATATAACAAAAGAACAAGCAGGATGAGCTTTGTTACAGTTTTTTTTCAGTAATAGCCATCACAGTTTGTCCAACCAAAACATTTAAAACAGGTTTTAATTGGATTAAAAAACTTACATAAAGGAAGAGTTCATATACTGACCAAATACTCCTAACAATGTAAATTATGTAACATACATCATCATTATTGGAGAAGCACTTTGGAGATTGTAAAAGATACACTTGAGTAGCTTCTGAATAATCCTTAAAGGTGGAAAAAACGCACTACTGTGAACTATATTTTCTACCATCTCATTATATCCTTACAGAGCCTAGATTGTTTTGCTTATCACATTCGACCATATAAAACTTTGGGAACTTTGTAAAATGTGCATACCATACGTCAAAACTCTATTACCCC